TCGGCAAAGCCCGCACAAAGGAATCCCCTGCCCAACCCTCTGAACCGCCAATGGGCGGGGCGGGGGGGAGCGCACAGCAGTCCGCAATGGATGTGGATAAAGAGGGGAGTAAGGGCGATGAGAAGAAGAACAGAGCGGCCAAAGAGGCTGCTGTAGCGTCAAAGAGCGCAAAGCCGCATCCGGCGAAAGCGTCGCGTCCTGAGGCCCTAAGCGGCTTGTTGGATGTGACACTGATCAGCGATGTACGGGAGCGTGATCGGGATATTTCCGATGACGAGTATTCCCCTACGAATGTGTGCATGTTTCCGGAATCATGGGAGGGCGTAATGCCGACCTCCGTAACTGAGAAGGCCGGAGGCTTTGAGCAGTTCAGAAACGAGCTCATGAGGATCCAGAGAATCCTGGATTCTCCGGCGTTGGTTGACCTTGGTAAGGTCGATCTGGACGCTCTGGGCGAGCCGCCCAGGGAGTACGTCTCGGATGAGGATCACGAGAGTCACGTAGATGATGATGGGATGGGCCCATATGTGGACAAGTTCTCATCAATGGGCGACCGCGACCTAGTGCCCTCAAAGCAGGAGCCGCCTTACTATGAGGCAAAGGCGTGGCGTACCACTGAAGAGGAAATTGAGAGGATGAAGAACCTTTTTCCATACTTTCGTGCCGAAAATTATCGGCTTATGTCGGCGGGGACTGGTCCCATAGGTACCAAAGCGCACGTACAGGGCGTCCTCCCTGCTGGTGCGTCGCTAGAGGAGGCACTGATGGCAAAGCCCGATGTGTGCCCGATTGCGAGCACCTACAACCTCACATACGAGGGTGAAGAGGTTGTGTTTGATGCACAGAGCGGGACAGCAGGCAGAATCGCCTGTCCTGCCGGTAACGACATCTTCCATTTTTTCCCCGAAATTAAGGATATGTCGGCGATGATTGGACGAAGCTCCAGAGAGTCGCAAATGCTGCTAGAAATTTTGTCGGGCAACACTGACCCAACGCGGTTGAACGTGAAGCCCGGTGAGCCGGCTCCCTTCTTGTGTGGGACGGTTCCAGACATTCTGGGAGGTTGGATGTCAATGACTCTAATCTCAACGCTTTTTGAGGCCCTATACGGGATCCATAAGTGCACGAGCGTCGAGGTGGCGACCTGGGCGGGTTCTCTTGCGAAGGAGAACCCAGCGTACCCTCCAGTCGAGCTCCTAATACGGACAGTCTGGAGGGGAGATGGCACGACTGTGCGCCCGAATGAGGTGCTTTTTGCGCGTTCCACCCTAATCGGGAGGGACGTGCCGTTCAAAGTTTTCAAGCGTTGGGCACTGCGTGACCGAACGCCTATGGGGCCTTTGCTTAGGCCGATGGGAGCAGCGGAGGTCCCTTATACGGGATACGTGCTGCTGACGATGGCCGAGTATCGGTCCGCCCTCAAAACGAGGTGCATCCGGAGGCCCGGCAAATTCGCCATCACAGTTTTCCCCATGCGACCTGAGCAGGTCTGCAGGGGGGAGATCATGATTGGGTTGGAGGGCGCAAAGGTGCCTCTCCTCAAGTTGCCAAGCCCCAGTAATGAGGGCGAATTTTATGTTGACGACCGCGTCAAATACATGGACAAGCGCCATGTCGTTGTGGCCGTTGACCTGAAGTGGATGGCCATCGAGGAAGCCGCCGGCATCTATAAAACCCGACGCGGTTTGATTGCTGTGCGAGAGGAGATACATGCGCCCTTCTGGCGCGCGTGCTATCTGCACCAGGAAGGGGATGTGATATACATCCGTCCCTGGGCGGTTCGAGGGGTGAATGTCCAGGGACCGCGGAGAGGGGTTCCATTTTCATGGGACAAAGCTCCCATGCATGACTACTGGTGCCCTCGGTGCGCGCATTTGAATATGTATGGCACCATTCTATGCAATGGTTGCCATTTGCCGATTTTCTATCGAGAGTGGGTGCCAGGCACCATCCGCTCCCAAGTTAGGAGAGGGCAGCCAGTCTGGTTGGACGGACTCAAGGCAGTCCGTGCCAGCAGCTGGTATGAAGGGGAGACTGACGTGTGGGCTCCTCTCATGGCGTCGGTAAACCCGATCCGCGAGGTGGTCAGCTGTATGATCTCCGGTTTGCGCTGTGCGCCGCACCTTGTGCACAATCCCAATGCGGATATCGTGCAAGTTGCGTTTCAGGAGGTTGCAAAGGTCACCTCAAAGGACACTCACGCTTGTGTGCGTGCGAGTGATGAGGCTCTCGAGCGGTGGGTAGCGAAACAGCTGCTCATCGAGGAGAGCAATACTGGCGTCCCAATTCCCGACAATATGTCTGTCATGACATATTTGATCGAGCACCCGCAACAGGCGGCGCAATGGGGTCGTCATATGACGAGAAAGGGCAGTCTAAATTCAGCATTTGCCCTTTACCTCTCTGTGCATATTTACGATGCCTACCGCATCGGAATTGAGGACGGCTATTTGGTTCCGCTGTATGGCCTAGGCGCCTCACGCGCGGACATCATAATGTCATTGGCGCAGGCTGAGCGACGCCTCGCGGACTTCAATAGTGAGGACCCAAGTTTTGATGCCTCCACTGTTCTTGATTTGAGTATCGACTCTCTGCGGGCCGGTGGTGGATCCATCACGGCCCCGATTGAGTATGCTGAGGCATACATTTATGTCGAAGACAACAAGGTTGACATGGTCCCCGCTGCACAGCGGGACGGCCAATGCGCCATTGCTTTTGCTGACCCACCGACTGGGAAGCACCATAGGCGGGCAGCCACTCCTAGGGGAGATCATCGGTCTGCTACCCCGCGACCTGAATCCAGGTCAAAGGGGGATCAGCAAAAGGGCAAAGCCCCTGCGCAATCCTGGCCCAAGGGTGGAGGTCACAAGGGTGACCAGTTTCCAGGAAAGGGTCACAAGGGTGATCAGTACAAAGGCAAGGGTGGCCAATACGGCTACCAACAAGGACAGTTCGGTCGCGGCGGATCCGCCAGATCGAGAACTCCCACTGGCGGGTATCAGCCTGATGCTCGCGGGTCGGGATACAAGGGTGCACAGGCTGCCCCTTACCCGTTCCCGAGTCCGATGTATCCCACTTTCCCAATGGGAGGATACATGCAACAGCCCATGGCTGGCATGATGCCACAAATGTGGCCTGGCGCAATGCCGCAGGGTTGGCAGCCGCATATGCAGGGTGATCCCCGCGAGTTCGAGAATCCGAACTCGCCGCATACCCCTACGTGGGGTGACGGTGACGAGTTGGCCGAGACAGTGCCTCCTTTTCTGGGGACTGGAATGTCAGCAAGGGGAAGGGACGGCACGGTGGCGGACGACATCGGTAATACCCGAAGTCTGTCTATGTGTTTTGCATGGCTGCGCCAACGCGCGCATGTTTTCATTTCGGAATTTGCAAGATGGACTATGCTCCTTGTCGTATTTCGTTGTCTGGGCTATTCGTCACTTCAGAATTCAACTGCATGCGTAGCTGTGCGCTATTCGCGCAAGCTGCGATTACCTGTCAGGAGTGCGTCGCCACAGCAAGGCAGTCACTCTCGGCGGCGTCTATGGCCGCTGGTGATCTGCATCCTCCTGCACCGCTGCTGCTGCTGGTGATGGTGCTCATCAAGGTGCCGGGGTGAGGATCACGGATGCCCCGCACCGCTGCCGGTGATGTCCTACTCGGACCTAGACCGCGGATCGCTGCGTGGCGATTGTCCTCGAATGATCGCGCGCCTAGACGGTGCTAATTTATAACCAAGGCTCATTGGTCTATGCACCATGTTTCAACCGACTGGCCAATGCGCCTAATCTAATAATTAAAAATTAAATCCACTTGAATCAAATGATTCAATGTGGTTGCAATGCAAATGACAATTCTTTGGCTTCATGCCGGCCATTCCGAAGTTGATCCTTTGTTCTTTTCTTTTGTTGCTTTCTCTTGTTTGATTTGGCTACCGGTGCGAATCCGCCTCATACCCGTAATTCGGGGTGGTGGCGGGATCCGGGCACCAATGAGTGCCCGGGTATGGGGTCGCGAACCCTGGTAGCCTAATCGGCTTTGTTTTCCTTGTTTGTTGCTACTCAACTTCAATATGGCCAATGCGCCCTTCCAAATTCACTCCTTCTCTTTGTACAGGCGAGGGGGGTGTTTTTGGGGGCATGTAGTTTTATCGCAACATGTTTCAACGCCACGGCCAATGCGCCGTTTGGCTCAAGCTTTTCACCGCGTCGGACTCCGCCGCCATAACGGCATCGGCTGCCTACGGCGCCGCTACTCATCTCGGTCTTGCAAAAGATCGGGCTGAGGTTCGCGGCGGTAGGCACGTTCTTTGGTTGTGGGTCGGTTGTTTGTCTGGTGGTGTGCGCTCTGTTGCTGCTGCTCCGCTTTTGCTTGGTTAATTGCTTTGCTCGCTTGCTTGCTGCGCTCGCCTGGTTGGCTGCGCTGGTCCCCTTTCCTGTTTGGGTTTTGCGGTTAAACAGGATCCCCCGTTTGTTATCTGTGTGGTTCATTGCCAGCCGAGGGCACCACTTTGCCCTTGGGACTGGGGGGCTTAAACTGTCTCTTCTTGTTGGTGGGTTAGGGCCTGTTTATTCTCTCCCGAAATACTGTTTCAAACCCGTTTCGCACTTAGTTTAGGGAAGCCACCGACGTCAGTTTCTGCAAGCACCTTTTGCGGAGGTAGTCTATCCGAGCATGTATCCTCAAAGGCTACTTGAACCCGGGTGAGTTTGCAAAAGGGCATTTTGTGACATGGGCGTGGCACAAAATTATAGTTTCTTGTTTTTTTTTTTAATGGAACTCTGGCTAAATTTCGAAAACTAGACCATCACCTGCTTGTAGCCGCTGTTTAATTTGGAGCCATGCGTGCAGAACTGAAGAAGAGGATCTAGCGTCCAATTGTTCTAAGGGAAGTGTAGAATGAGGGAGGCTTGCTCTTTCCATTTGGGGTAAGAGAGACACTTTTTTTCAGCTAAAAGCCAACATGGAAGCAATAAGCGACGTGTGTGGCCACTGGAGCGATGGTGGTGTACGAGGTGATTCTGAATGTGAACATCAGTATCGTGGAGGACGCCTACCACGAAGCAAAGCAGCGCCTCTCGGACGAACGCAAAAATTCAAGGCCGTTCAAGGCACTCATAGCTACAATCAGTTTCATTCTCCAACAGGTGAACCTTTTCCGCACTTGCCCACGGCCGACCTTTTGACATTTTGTTTTTTCTGTTCCGGTGCACCTTTAGTAAAAGTTTCAAAAGGTGATCAACTTTCGTTTCCAAGCCCCTTCACGGGGCAAGCTAAGTACCAAGCTTGGTTGACTCTCCGCACGCCAGACCTTGCAAAGCTGAGTTTTGAGCAAAGGTCACGGCAGAACACTCTTCACATGGCGGTGTTTGGTTTGGGCGGAGCCAGCACCGTTTTGAACTGGGGCCAACGCAGCTTTCATTTACAACTAATGGCACAACATTGAAGTGAGCTCCGTTGTTTGCCTTTTTATTTTTTGTTTTTTCGGCGTTGGTTTCCATAGTATATTGCCCGCCGTGTTTTGAACATGTATTTCTGGAAGATTTGGTCGTAGCATGTGACAAGCCGCCAGCCGAAAAGCAGCGAGCAATCGCTGAGGTTACATGAGCCGGCAGCGGAACGAGGAGTGCTTCGGAGGAATTCAGCGGCTTTTGGGGTAACGAGACCCGCGTTTGGATCTTCGGGTGATTTTTGGACTTGGGTGCCCCCTTTTTGTGGCAACTTGCTTTCTTCCCATCAAACAATCCAGGGTTTCCTGCCTTTGTTTGGAGTCGTCAAAAGAAGCGATCTTTTCAAGGTGAAACCACCAATAAACTTTCAGGTGGATAAGAATAGCTGTAATTTTCTCCTGTTGGCTTCAAATCTAGGAGAAATCCGATGACGCCTGTCCCGCAAGGCTGTTTGCATTCTCCGGGGATTGGTGGTTAGAGGGTAAATGGGAGACTACCCAACCTCCAAACCACCGATTCGGCTCCAAATCATCAATTTAGAGGGAAGCTGAGGTGTTTTTTTGGGGGAACTCCTTTGTGGGGGTTGTTTCACAGGGAAGCCAAAAGGACACCACCACTCGGGCCCATTTTGCTTGGGAATGAGAAGTGGAATGGCCAAACTTATAAAACCCATCCCAACTGGGTGGCTTCCTCGTGGAAATTCCCCAAAACCCCCTACCGATTTTCGGTCGCACCGCGACCGGCGGAGCTCGCGCGGGCGATGGCGCGCGCTGAAGGCCTGAGCTCTTCCCGGACCGCGTGCGCCGGGCGCTGGAGGAGGAGTCCCCGGAGCTCGACACCTTGGCGCCTCGGCCGGCGGCGCCACAAAACGGCGCGAACAAAACGCGGCGGTTTTGCCGGGCGCAAAACCGCCCAAACGCCCACCGAAACCTCCATTTGCTCAAGTGTTTTTTGTTTAACTACATATATATGTATATATGTATATATGCATTTTCCCTTGTTGGTTTTAAAAGGAACTCAGCATTGCTGCAATTAGTTTTGTTGTTTCCTGGGGCCTTAACCAAATGGAAGGAAGCCTGGGGAAGCCTGGGGAAGTTTGGGGAAGCCAGGGGGTTCTCAAACCTGGATCGCCAGGTGCGATCGCTTTTTTCTCCATGAGCTTTACCGCAAACACTAGGTATGGGTTTATGTTATCTTCGGGGGGTAGGGGGAATGCGTTTCATTGGTTCAGAATACCTCGGCCCTCAAGGTTTTTTATGAAGGAAGGGGAATTCAGCGACCATACCTGGAGTCTCCATGACCCTTCAAAAATGGGTCAATGACCCCATTATTTTGGGTAATGACCCCATTTTTCAAGGGTCAAAATGAGTCCCAGTTTTTAAGCGTCATGGAGACTCCAGGTAGTTCTAGTGGTCCGTCCGACCACGTCTGGCTTGGCAAAACCGAAGATCCGAGTGCGCTGAGGAGCTGCTCTATGGGCATCACGTGCATTCGGATGCGGAGAGGCGTGCTGGCGTGAGTCCGTTGTGGACAACTTGGTTCCCACTTTTGTTCAGGGTATGATGTCGGCCCTCTACTCAAAAAGGTTGGTATTTACCATGGAAACCCGGGTTTTCTAAAAAATACCCTGGAAAAAGTGGGTATTTGGAGTAGGGGGTGTGGAGGGGGGGGGGAAGAGGGTTCTGGCAAAGAGGAGAGCAAAGAAAACTGGAAGCCAAGAAGAACACGTTTGAATTTTCAGACTACTTACGCGGGAATTCTCTTGTTTGGATGGGTTCAAAAAAGGGAGCCACAAGGAGGCAGTTGCCATGTGTTGGTCAGGACTTCGTCCATCCGTAGTACCTGAGTCTCCGTAAAAAATGGGGTCATTACCCCAAATACTGGGGTCATTGGCCCATGTTTAAAGGGTCATGGAGACTCCAGGCACGCATTTTGCGCAACCGACTTGTGAGGAGTTCTGCGGAGCCCAACTTCCATCAGCGACTGCACCCGCACGCCCCCCACGGGTCCGACGCCACCGACACATCTGAGTCCAGCCGGGCAGCCGAGAGGTTTGGCGGGGCGTGGTTGTGGGCTTGGGTGGGGCTGGGGAGGGCCGGGGTTGACCTCTATTTGCTAAAGTCCCCTGGAGAAAAGAATGCAGTATGTCCAACAAGTATGGCGCCCGAGATTTTTGTTTGGTTCCCAAAGATTATGGTTCCCATTCTTATGTGAATGCATTGGTTTGGCAATAGTAGGTCCAATAGTGATAGATTCCCTTCAAAATCAACAGGGCAAAGTAAAACATTTTCTCAAGCAAATCGAAGTTGAGTGTGGAAGGAGGGGAGAATGCAAACTTGGCTCCTTGGGCGCCTCATCACAAAAATCAAGCTCCCTATATTTCTACTGGTACCCTGCCCATTCTTTCCAGGAATCCTTCTTGGAAAGCCTCCAGAAGCGCCGAGAAAACGGCCGGTTTTTGAAAAGAACGATTGTTGAAGAAAGGAATAGGGAATCAACCCCCAACCCCTAGAAGTTTTCTCGTTGTGCTCAGCTTGTGCAGCACCTCTTGGACCATCCACTGCGAGCTTCCTTTGAGCGGGGTGATGTTGCGGGGCAATTGTGGCCCTTCAAAAGGGATATGACGTGGATGTGGTCTCTTCCAAAACTGCCGCAGTCAAAATGTGAAGCAAATCAGAAAACACAAGTTTCAGGGTGCCTGGACCCTGAAAGCAACCTTAATCCCTGGGTCTCAAAGCACCCTTACAAAACGGGCACTCCAGAATTTTGGGGTGGTTCCCCCCTGGTTTTATGGCAATTAATCACCGTTTTTTTCCCCGGGTTGTAGGGTCCAGGTGCTCCGTTTGCAGGGTCCAGATCTCGTTTTTTTCCTTTTTGCTGAGATATGCTGAGATCTCGTTTGTTTTCTCCCGCCAGCTGCTTTTCGCACTGAGGCGGGCTCTTCTCGCGGACCGTGTCCGGCAAGCCTTGGTCCCAGATTCGGATCGGCCCCAGACCCCACCCGCTGGACGCGGGCGGTTGCATACCTGAAGTCTCCATGACCCGTTAAAAATGGGTCAATGACCCCATTTTGGGTAATGACCAACCATTTTTTAAGGGTCATGGAGACTCCAGGTATATGTTCTTGGGCGTCTGAGCACCGTGACAGAAATAGAAAAAAAGAGATACCTGGACCCTCCAACTACGCAGAAAAGTTGTTTGGGCAGAACCACCCTAGAATTATGCGGCGCTTCCCATTTGCAAGGGTCAGGTCAAAGCGAATCGGCCTTTTAATGCTTTGAAGTTCCCTGTTTGGCAATCACTTCTAGCAAAGGTCCCAAAGGTGAGCACCTTTTATTTCTAGGTCTCTAAGGGGCAAGTAGGAAAGTCGCGCATTTCTCGTGTTGAACTTTTGGTTTCTGCTCGGGGTTGGTTGCCATGTTGGTGGAAAACAAAGGTTTCGCTGCTGTGTTGGGCCAATCCTCTCGATCGGAAGGGAGTTGTCTAGTTCGGCGCAGTCCATTCGTCCACCTGTTGCGACTGTCCCCAAGGCAAAGCAATGTTGCAGGATGGACTAGGGCGGCGCTAAAGAAGAGGGCCAACAAGGAACAGTACCTGGAGTCTCCATGCCCCTTCAACAATGGGTCACTGACCCCATTTTTTTGGGCAATGACTCATTTTTTAAGGGTCATGGAGACTTCAGGTAAACAGAAACCTGGACCTCAACTAACATTTGGGGTCCCGTTCTTTAGAATTTGAGCCATAGCCTACGAAGCATCACGAAATCGTATGTCCAGGGGACAGCCAAGGAACTGCTGGCTTCCGATTTCCCTTGGATTTAATTTCCTCCGTTTATTCGACTTCCCTTTGAGAAAGACAAGGCTCGACGGGCAAGATCTGTAGCCTGCAACCTGGAAAGGGGAGCCAGGACGTGTAAAAGCAACTTGGTTTTTAAACCTTCCCTCCTTCTCCTACCCGCGCCTTGCTGGCTTCTTTCATTTTTTGTTTGTGTTTTTGTAGGGGGGTGTAGCGGCAATAATCTGAGTGAACTTGGCTAAACGACTTGATGAACCACTCCAGCACCCTCCAAGGGTGGTCGATGGGTACTCAACTGGCCATGGTTCAAAACCAATGGTACCATTTTGGGATAGGTGCACCACCCATTTTAGTTTGTTTTAGTGGGGATTGCGGTGTTCACTGCGGGTTACGGGGTTTTGACCCATGGCCATTTTGATGGACAACCCCTTAGAGAGTGCAGGCTTGCTGACTGGCATGAGGCGATTTCGATCCCAGTCGGATGGGATCGGAGCTCTCATGGGGCCATGCTATGCTAGGAAAAGCCAAGGGTTAGCCCTTAATCAGGCCTCAAGGGGTCAAGGCTCGCCATAGACTTGTGGGGGTCTAAGAACCATTTTACATTTCTGCTTATTGTGGCTTAGTGGAGTCAGTAGGTTAAAACCACGACGTGGCTGGCTCAACCCGCCACTTTCTTTCCCCCCCCCTGAATCCACTGTACCTAAGCTGCCCTCCAAGTAAGGATCGTTCGGGTCCAAAGCATAGCCCCCGTTAAGGGGTCAAAGCATAGCCCCCCTCCCCATGGCCTGTGGGGCTCTGGAAAAGATCTGGAAAGCCAAGGGTCTTGTGGGGGTCCAAGTAAGGATCGTTCGGGTCCAGCTCAGGTACATCAGTCCCCGGCTCCTGGAGAGTCCCAAGTTGCAGAGAGCCCTGGCGCGGACCCCAGTCGACCCGAGTCCTCAGTTTGTGGCCGGTCAAAGGCGAATCCGTCCATCCTTTGGGGTTTCCCTTTCTGGCCACCATTTTTGGGGGTTTCCACCTTCCCTTTTTTCCATCCTTTGGGGGTTTCTCTTTGTGGCAACCATTTTTAGTCATGGCCCTAAGAAAGGTTAACCTTTTATTCCGGGGTCCTTTGGGCAAGTGAGAGGGGGAAAGGGTATGATACCCTGAAGTGTTGGTTCTCCCTTGTTGGGCAACCATATGGCCTTAATTCACATGGAACCAGGACATTGTTCACCTGTTGGTGATCCGCTTTTGGCACCCATGTTTCGTCATGGCCTGCCAAAAAGCATGCCCTACCAACCAACATGGAACCTGAGGGACCAGGGAACGATTCCCCGAACGCCAGGCTCCATGGGAATTGGTGAGAGGGTAACTTCTTTTTTATTCAAGGGCTGCCGCCCTGTGCCGCCGGCCCCTGCTTGCTGACAGTGCACGTTGTTATGACAATTATGACAATTAACGGCACACTTAAAGCATATATGAAAAAGAAGAGCAGCACGACAAGGATGATGTTTTTGATGATGCATTGTTTTACCCAACATAAGGGATGCTGATAATTATTACCATGCACTCGCCATATCGCCAGCAGTTATGATGATAATTGTTGCCTTGCATTTTTAGCATCACCAGCAGTTGTTCTGATAATTATGACGACGCATTCCCTGCATCTCAAACAAGCCACTGCGGGATAAATTCGCATGACAATAAGCACCTTGTTGAATTTTACAAGAAGTGCCCCGGGTGCGTGAAAACTCGGGCAGCACCACCATGTTGGGGGCCGTTTTTTTTCTTCTCAAGACTTCGATGTGTTGCTGTGGATGCGAAGTGTGCAGCAGATATCATGACAATCATCACAACGCATCCTCTGCACTTCCAGTCGGGTCTAACGGCACACTTGAAACGTAAATGAAAAAGAAGAGCGCCACGGTTTTGATGATGAACATAATTTCATCATCATGTTCATCATCATCATCATCATCATCATCATCATCATCATCATCATCATCATCATCATTTTCATCATCATGTTCCTCATCATGTTCATCATCATCATCATCAGCCTGATGATAATCAGCACCACGCATCCTCAGCATCATCAGCAGCAGTTATCATGACAATCAAGACAACGCATCCTCCGCATTTCCAGTCGGGCCTAACAGCACACTTGAAACGTATGTTCATCATTTTCATCATCATGTTCCTCATTAAGTTCGTCATCATCATCATCATCATCATCCTGATGATAATCATCACCACGCATCCTCAGCATCGCCAGCAGTCAACAGTCATCAGCAATTATCATGACAATCATGACAACACATCCTCTGCATTTCCAGTCGGGTCTAACGGCACACTTGAAACGTATGAAAAAGAAGAGCGCCACGGTTTTGATGATGAACATAATTGTTCATCATCATCATCATCATCATCATTTTCATCATCATGTTCCTCGTCATGTTCATCATCATCATCATCAGCCTGATGATAATCAGCACCACGCATCCTCAGCATCATCAGCAGCAGTTATCATGACAATCAAGACAACGCATCCTCCGCATTTCTAGTCGGGCGAACATGATGATGATGATGATGATGATGATGAACATGATGATGATGATGAAGATGGTGATGATGATGAACATGATGATGAGAATGATGATGATGAGAATGATGATGAGATGATAATGCTGGTGTTGATGAACATGAAGATGATGATGAACACCCTTTTTCATTCAGTTCATCATCATCACCATCATCATCATTTTCATCATCATGTTCATCATCATCATCATCATCATCATTTTCATCATCAATTTCAGCATCAATGTTCATCCTGATGATGATCATCACTACGCATCCTCAGCATCACCAGCAGTATGCCAAGCAGTTATCATGACAATCATGACAGCGCATCCTCTGCATTTCCAGTTGGGTCTCATCATTTTCATCATCATGTTCCTCATTAAGTTCGTCATCATCATCATCATCATCCTGATGATGATCATCACTACGCATCCTCAGCATCACCAGCAGTATGCCAATTATCATGACAGTCATGACGACGCATCTTCTGCATTTCGAGTCGGGTCTAACGGGACACTTGAAACTGATAGGAAAAAGAAGAGCCACGGTTTTGATGAACATGATAAGGAACATGATCATGCCACCCTCATCATTTTCATCATCACATCATCATCATGTTCATCATCATGTTCATGTTCCTCATCATGTTCATCATCATCATCATCATCATCGTCAGCAGCAGTTATCATGACAATCATGACAACGCATCCTCTGCATTTCCAGTTGGGTCTAACGGCACACTTGGAACGTATATGAAAAAGAAGAGCGCGAACATGGTGACGTGATGATGCAAATGATGATGATGATGATGATGATGATGATGAACATGAACATGCACATGAACACCATCATCACTTTCATCACTTATTTTCATCATCATGTTCATCATCATCATCATCATCCTCATCATTTTTCATCATCATGTTCCTCATTAAGTTCGTCATCATCATCATCATCATCATCATCCTGATGATAATCATCACTACGCATCCTCAGCATCGCCAGCAGTTAACGTTCTCACTATGCCAATTATCATGACAATCATGACGACGCATCTTCTGCATTTCCAGTCGGGTCTAACGGGACACTTGAAACTTATAGGAAAAAGAAGAGCCACGGTTTTGATGATGAACATGATAAGGAACATGATCATGCCACCCTCATCATTTTCATCATCACATCATCATCATATCATCATCATTTTCATCCTCATGTTCCTCATCATGTTCATCATCATCATCATCAGTTATCATGACAATCATGACAACGCATCCTCTGCATTTCCAGTTGGCACACTTGGAACGTATATGAAAAAGAAGAGCGCCACGAACATGGTGACGTGATGATGCAAATGATGATGATGATGATGAAAATGATGATGATGCACATGAACATGATGATTTATTTTCATCATCATGTTCATCATCATCATCATCCTCATCATTTTCATCATCATGTTCCTCATTAAGTTCGTCATCATCATCGTCATCATCCTGATGATAATCATCACTACGCATCCTCAGCATCGCCAGCAGTCAACAGTCATCACTACGCATCCCGACAACACATCCTCTGCATTTCCAGTCGACAATCAAGACAACGCATCATTTCCAGTCGGGCCTAACAGCACACTTGAAACGTATATTAAAAAGATGAACATGATGATGATGATGAGATGATAATGATGATGTTGATGAACATGATGATGATGATGAACACCACCTTCTTCCATGTTCATCATCATCACCATCATCATCATTTTCATCATCATGTTCATCATCATCATTTTCATCATCAATTTCAGCATCAATGTTCCTCATCATCATCATCCTGATGATGATCATCACTACGCATCCTCAGCATCACCAGCAGTTAACGTTCTCACTATGCCAATTATCATGACAATCATGACGACGCACCTTCTGCATTTCCAGTCGGGTCTAACGGGACTTTTAGGAAAAAGAAGAGCCACGGTTTTGATGATGAACATGATAAGGAACATGATCATGCCACCCTCATCATTTTCATCATCACACCATCATCATGTTCATCATCATGTTCATCATCATGTTCATCATCATGTTCATCATCATCATCATCATCGTCAGCAGCAGTTATCATGACAATCATGACAACGCATCCTCTGCATTTCCAGTTGGGTCTAACGGCACACTTGGAACGTATATGAAAAAGAAGAGCGCGAACATGGTGACGTGATGATGCAAATGATGATGATGATGATGATGAAAATGATGATGATGAACATGAACATGCACATGAACATGATGATGATGAACACCATCATCACTTTCATCATCATCTTCATGATGATTTATTTTCATCATCATGTTCATCATCATCATCATCCTCATCATTTTCATCATCATGTTCCTCATGAAGTTCGTCATCATCATCATCATCATCCTGATGATAATCATCACTACGCATCCTCAGCATTGCCAGCAGTCAACAGTCATCACTACGCATCCCCAGCATCAGCAGCAATTATCATGACAATCATGACAACACATCCTCTGCATTTCCAGTCGGGTCTAACGGCACACTTGAAACGTATGAAAAAGAAGAGCGCAACGGTAATGATGATGATCCGGATGATGTGAAGTGATGATAATCATCACTTAGACAAGGACAAAGACAAACCCTTCCCATGCGCCTTCCCTTTGGAGAAAGGGGTCGGCGGATTTCTGTGTCCCCAAGGGGCAAGTCCCTTAGAGACGAGGCTTGGCGGTTCCATTGGAACGGAACTCCCATGGTTTCATTTGGGACTCCTTGTGGGGTTCCGTTTCCCCCCCCCCCCCTCGCCAATTTGCCGGCGGCTTGCCCAGCCATGCTGATTGCGCCCTCAAACTTCCTGCCTAATCCTGAACATGTGGGGGCGCCGGGTGAAAAGCCCCTATTTAATTGGCTGATTCCAAAAAGCGTTCAGCACTGACGGGGCCCGGCCGGTTGGCCGGAGGTAGTATCAATTCATAACCTGTTCCTGGACCCTCAAACTACCCATAAAAGACGGGAAATTCACACACCATGTTTTGTTGGGTTGCAAGAACCAGCATGTTTTTTGCGTGTCGTTTCTGCGGGTCCAGAGTTGACCCTTTTGACCAAACCTGGGTGTGGAAAAAAATCTGGGCGCCCTGGCTGTCCTCCATGTTCCCTTGTTTTTCAGGTCTGAGGTTTCCGGATGCATCAGTTCTGTTTTATTGTTTCCATTTTCTTCAGTGCGGATTGCTTTGATTTTCCCCGTGTTTGTTTTGAGGGGAGCCTATCGCTATTGGACATATTTCTGTTCTTTTGCCCCAGGCGAATTGAGCACATGAAGGTTTACATGGGGAATTACATGTAAGCATGGCTTGCCATGTCTCGAGACCCTTCAGGCTTTACTCAGCTTTCCACCAATTGGTGGTTTGGATTGGTGGTTTGGATTTCGGATTTGAACGGGTCCCTGGCTTTTGCAGAGGGTAAATGGGAAACCGCCCCTTGATCACCAACTGGAGGGAAGCTGATGTACTATGATCAATGACCAAGCTCATCGAAACTACTCGCCTTCAACGTGAAGGGGTGTCATCGTAAAAGGCGACCCATTGATGCCAAGGGAACCTCCCTGAAAAGTGACAAAGTAGTCATAGGCGTGGGAATGCCGCTTTATCGCCGACAGGGTGATTTGGAGTTTCCAGAAACATGTTCAAAAGAGTTCAGCACAACAGGTTACCACCTTGTTATATTCAACACCCTTGAAAGGAGATGCTCAAGCTCTAGGCGTTTTGAAACACAACCCCCAGGCTTGAGGGAATGACCAACCATGGCTGCCTACGGGATCCCTGGGTTCATTCAACAAATGGTTGGTTCGAATTCAACTGATAGGTGTTATGTTTGGTTTTGCCGGTCGCAAAATCGATGGCAATGCCTGGTCTACCCCGGTGTTTCTTTTTTTCCTTCTGCCAGGGCCATTTGATTCCCCTAAAAGGACCACCTATTCGAATCCTAATGAACATGTTGACCCCCCATCCTCCCAAAAGCCCAGCGCAAAACCCTAGGGACCAGGATCAAGGGAAGTCAGGGAAATGGGGATGTTGCCGTGGACAAATCTGGGGAAATGGCAAAGAGGGTTCTGTCTAAGGTAGGTCCCCCAAAAAAAAACGGCCATCCTGAAAGGGGGTCCAAATAGTCTGGGAAGTCTATTGAGAATTTTGAGGGTCAGGTCGTTCCTTTTCATCCATGCCTGCAGCTTTTTCGCATCTTATTTGGGTTTAGTGGTTGGGTTTTTTAAACTTTTGGCCCACTAAACATTGAACAGTCTTAGCGGGAAAGGAAAGGGGTTTCCAAATGCCTGCTCGAGTGGGGCAAAGTCGCTTGGGAAGTTTCAGGGCACCCAATACTTCCAGAGACCAAGTTTTACTAAACAAGCTCCGCCCAACAAAAACGAGGACATGGACGTGCTGGGGTCATTCGCCTTAGCAAAGTCAGAGCCTACCTATGAGCAATGCAAGTTTGAGGGTACTTAACTTGGTGGCTCCCAGCCATCCCTTAGCTTTCTAGCGCACTAAAAGGGATCATCACTCCAGGGTTTCTTCTGCGGTGCAGGACTTCGTCCATCAGTAGCAATGCAAGTCTGAGGGTGGGACAGCTCGCGGTTTGATCCGCAGGTCTCCACCTTTGCGGAAACCCGGCAGCGCGCCCAGTCCTTGCCGGCCCGGGGCTTCACGGAGATGCCAGCCGACCCCAGGAGACTGGAGCGCGATGTCGGCAATGGAGCCTCCTGAAAGAGCCACACATGAACCGTTTGTTGGCATGTGTCTTGACTGCTATTGGGTTGCTTCAACTTTTCGGGAAATCAAGAAGTTTTCCACTAAACCCACAACAAATTACGCTTTTGCAGAGGGATCAACAGCAACCAATGTGTTTAGTTCTTTTCATTTTTTGGGGGGCGGGTTCTGTTCATTTGCAGACTACAAAACAAGTTGCTACCATACCAAGGGTTGGAAAGTAAACTGCATGTGTTGGTTTGAGGGTTCAGGTTTTGGAAGGTTCATTCTGACGCTTGCGTGTCATGGTGGATTCGCGAACCAAATCCACCTTTTGAACCCGAAGGACAATGTCAGTCGCCAAGTGGGGGGCTCTGAAACGTGTCGCTCCCCTAAACTGGCAAGGGCGGCCCTTGGTTTCCCCTCCCAACGGATCCTTCTCTTTTCCATTGCTTACCCAGAGGAGCCCAACAGCCATGAATTTAGAGGGAACCTTTTGAGGACAGCGGTTTTTGGCACCATGTTGATCTGGGAATCCGGTTGCATCTCACTTCCCAAGTTTCCCGGAATGTTTCTGTCGTTTCGGATGGCAATTGTAGTGGTAACACAACAGCATGCTACTTTCTTGTCCGAAAACTTGTTTGGTCTCCCAGATGGGTTCTGATCCGAAAGGAAAAGCAGCTGGCTGGTCTCCAAACCAAAACTATGTTTTCCATATGTTGGGGGCCTGTAGTTGGTGGTTTGGATTGGTATTATTTTCAGTGCACCTGCTCCAAATACCAGTTCTTTTAGGGTATGATGTCAAGCCGTTACAAAACAGGGGATCGGTGTCTACCCTGAAAAACCGATCGGTTTTACCAGAAAAATATGCTTTCTGGAGTAAGATGGTCTCCCTTGAAACCACCGTGTAGAGGGTCCCCCTAAGAAAGGAGGTATTGTGGATGGACGAACTCCTGCACCATTTGGAAACCATGGGAAGCCATTGTGCATTGGTATTTACAGGGGACTCATCATTCCTAGGTTTCTGAGGTGGTGCGAAATGGAGTTCGTCCATCCACAGTATTTACCATGGAAATTCCCAGAGAGGCAGCCAGGCACAAGTTGACAAGTTGGACATGAAGCAAATGCCAGGAGCTCGGTGGACGGAAGCTCTGGTGCGGAGCAGCTCAATGTGTCTTGGCTCTTTGGCTAGGTCCCCCAGCTAGGTGCCAGCTTTCTCACCGTGTCTTTTTTGGTTGGGAGATTCGGTTCCCCTACTAAAATAGACAGGGCTCCTTAAAAGATACACTTTGCCCGTTTGAAACATGGCTTTTTCCAGCAAAACAAAGGGAAACCAACATTTACAAGGCAATGTTCAGGTGCATAATGTATCATAATGTAAGGATCCCTGATAGACTACAGAAAAAGGGGGTACCCTTATTCTAAGCTCTCCACTGGAGGACCTAGTTGGTTCACCTCATCCTTTTGCTTGCGAAAGGCTTGGTTTTGCACAACTCTGTTGCCCAGTGGACTTTTGGTATTCCATGGGTGGTTTGCGCTTAAGCAAGCCCCAGCTTTTGAAGCCTGGGGGACGAGCCCTCTCAGCCCTCACCGGGTTTTTCCGGGTAAGAAGAGACCAGCCCTCTAACAAACCCCGAACGACTTGGATTTGGGAATCTTCTCCAAGTCGCCTTAGACTTGGGTCCATTTGCTTGAGTTGGCCCTTTATTATTCTGATGTCTCCTTCTGACCCTTAAATGGTTGGTCATTACCCAAAAAGGTCATGGACCCATTTCCCAGGTGCGTATATGTTCCCATCTCTTGGAATTTAACGGGCATCGATTTTACTACCGACTGGAAGTATGTGTTTTGCTCAGGGGACTTAAGCAATAGGAAAGAAGGGTCCCCTACCTAAGGAGGCACCAAAACACCCCTTGTTGCCCCTAAGCCATCTTCAAAGGTACTTGGAATGTTTAGGGGAGCTTTCAAGAAATGAGTTTCTGTTTGTGCTACTTTATCCCCCGGCCGCTTCGTGCAATCCGGGTGAAGCAAGCAGTGGCACTGGGAACTTTTGATTTGGGGAAATCCAGTGACCGGGGCCCTTGTTTCCTTTTTGGATGGGGTTTCCGTTTCAACTCGGCTACCAAAAAAACCGAGTGCCCTTTTTGGCACTTCTTCCTGAGTAACTGGACTTTTTATTTTGTTTGGCGTTTGAGCATTTTAGTGGCAACAAACATGTGACTTTTTGTTGGCCAGTCCACTCGATGTGAAGTGAGTAGGTCAGTGCAAGTTCGACTTGTTAATATCAGAACCTTTTCTTTTGCGGTGCAAGGGGCTCTCTTTTGGAGGGGCTTCACCCTAGCCACTGGGTGCTTTTTGGCTTTGTGTTCCCTTCTCTCTATACTCTAGTGGTTGATTCCCCATTCTTCTCAACCATCGATCTTTTCAATAACCAGCTGTTTCCCCACGGGTTTTGGGTGGTTTCGTAGAAAGAAGGATGCATGGCAAGAATGGGGAAGGTACTCCTAGATGTACGTGATCCGATCAATTTTGGTTCAGGTGTCACTGGGCACGTCTTCTTCCTCCGCGGAGTCTCGCGGTGGCCTCGAGCTGTGCAAGGAGCGTCGCAAAAAAAATCGAAAGGAATGCGAAAGGAAGGAACAAAAAAGAAAGAACAATAAATAAAAGGAAATAAATAAAGAAAGCAAAGGAAAGGAAAGAAAGAGATAAAGCAAAGAAAGAAGGAGGCAAAACAACCATCGGAGCGACTTCGTCCGAACGTCTAGACTTAACAAACAAGCAAACTAACAAAACAAACCAAAGCAAACAAACAGGGGCACGCCCACTTCCTGAATGGACTGGCCAAGACAAGGCCAAACTTGCTGTCCAATCAAGTTGTCTTCCCAAAGAAGTTTAAACTCCATGAACTCATGGAGAACCTCAAGAAACAGCTCATTTTTTATGAGATGTCCCTTTGTTGTGGGTAGTTTGAGGGTCCAAGTGTTTTTTTGGTTGAGAAAGTTTATGGTTTTGTCGCGAGAAGCGGTGGAGAAGGGGCCAAAATGAAAACTAAAGTTTGACAAGCGCCCCCTGAGGCGACAAAAAAAGGAAGATTTTCTTACGAAAGACAGACAGAAAGAGAAAAATCAAAGAAAGAAATAAAGAAAGAAATAAAGAGAAAAATAAGATAAACGATCAAACAGGCAAGCAAGCAAACAAAAAGAAAGCAAGCAGGCAGGCAAGCAAGCAATCATTCAAGCATACAGAAAGAAAGCAAAGAAAGGAACGAAAGAAAGCAGGAAAGAAGGGCAAGAAAAGACTAAGCAAACTTACTTGGGGCAAACAGTTGTTGTCTAACACCTTCCCCCATGCGGGGAGAAAGAGTTGGATTCCACCAAAGAGTCATGACGTCCCCGACATGGGTTGGATGCGAATGGGACGGGTTGAGTCTTTCTCACCTGGGTGTGTCTATTGCCAGTGTTCCAACTTGTTGAAAGCAATGCTTCACAGGTTTGAACTGACTGGTTGCGGCTGAAACCAACACACAACAGTGGCTGAATGACAATTGAAGCCTGGGGTTTTGCCGGTTTTGAGCCAAGGTGATCCTGCAATATCCTTCTCAAGGGGCTCGAAGTGGTCCGTCTGCGAACACAACCAGAAACCCAGCAATCATCCATCCAAAAGGCCTATCCACCCTGTTTCGTGACACAGCTCCAGTGCTAAAGAGAGTCTTTCCCTCAGCACCCGCGAAAACATGCGGAACAGTGGCTATGCAGGTCCATGTGTACTTGCCAAGCGGCAAGAGCTGTTCTGTATCGCTGCCTTCGCCGGACTCGAGCGTCCGCGCACTGAAGACTGAGGCACAGAAGCAGTTGAACCGCCGCTTCTTGAGGCTTGCCTTTGCAGGGCAGCAGCTAGATCCGTCATCTACTTTGCATGAGGCAGGCGTTCGAGATGGGGACGGCATTGATGCCATCGTACTGCCCGTCAAGATCGCCTCCACCGAAAGAGCCTTTGCACTTTTTGTCACAGGTGGCTCCGCACTTACTTGGGGCTATCCTGGCTATGGCGGTGACAGCAGCCAGGTGCGAGAAAAGCTTGCGCGCGTGCAGCAGATCCAAGCAACCCGGGAAGCTTTTGCTGCCATCCTGGACGACGGCTCTGTGGTAACTTGGGGCAATCGGAGCCTTGGCGGTGACAGCAGTCAGGCGCAACATCAGCTGGTACGAGTCCAGAATCTTCCCGAGAATTAGTTCCCCTTTTTGTTTTTTGGCTTTTTTGGGGTTCTCTTTGTTTTTCACTAACCTGACAGAAAATATGTTTTTCCAGCCAAGGTATGTCCAAGCAACTTGTGCCGCATTTGCTGCAGTCCTGCAGGACGGGTCGTTGGTAACTTGGGGCAGGGGTCATGCCGGGGACAGGGTGCAACAGCCAGTGCGGATTCAGCAGATCCAAGCAACGTTTGGTGCCTTTGCTGCCCTCCTAGAAGATGGGTCTGTGGTAACTGGTCCTGGCACTAGTGCTTGCATGCCATTGCCAGGCTTGCAAAAGGCGCGCGTCCGGCACATCCAAGCAACTAGCCGTGCTTTTGCTGCCATCCTGGACAATGGCTCTGTGGTGGCATGGGGTGATCCTGAGGCTGGTGGTGACAGCAGCCAGGTGCGAGAGCAGTTGCTGCGCGTTCAACAGATCCAAGCAACTAACGCTGCTTTCGCTGCCATCCTGGAGGACGGCTCTGTGGTGACCTGGGGCGATCCTGAGTATGGTGGTGACAGCAGCGAGGTGCGAGAGCAGTTGGTGCGGGTTCGACAGATCCAAGCTACGTTTGATGCGTTTGCCGCCATCCTGGACGATGGCTCTGTTGTGACTTGGGGCGATCCAGTGTGGGGCGGTGACAGCAGCCAGGTGCAAGAGCAGTTGGTACGTGTCCAGCAGATCCAGGCAAATGTCCGCTCTTTTGCTGCCATCCGGCACGACGGCTTTGTGGTGGCTTGGGGCGATGCAGAGTGCGGCGGTGACAGCGGCCAGGTGCAAGAGCAGTTGGTGAAGGTCCAGGAGATCCAAGCGACCAGGTGGGCCTTTGCTGCTCTCCTGCAGGAGGGCTTTGTGGTGACTTGGGGCCTGCCTGGCTTTGGCGGTGACAGCAGCCAGGTGCGAGAGCAGCTGGTGGGGGTTCGACAGATCCAAGCAACCCACTATGCCTTTGCTGCTGTTGCTGACGACGGCTCTGTGGTGACTTGGGGCAATCCTGCCTTTGGCGGTGACAGCAGTCAGATTCAGACTCATCTCGACCTATTGTGAGACAGCGAGAGGCAAACATGCTCTGCTGCAAATTCTGCTGAGGTGCACTTGGGTAATTATGCGTTTGACCAAGAGTTTTCAAACATAGTGTTCACTTTGTTAATGCTTGTGTAGACTCTTGGGCAGTTGTTTGGGGTGTTTGGCGAATGTCCTGTAGATTTTGCTGGAGATGGTTTCAGATTGCGCCAAGGATTGGTTTTAGCTTGCAACTTTTGTAATGCTAGGACATCTCCTTGCAAGTGATGTATCCATAGGGATTGGACTACATTGGTATCCGAAGGGTGGTTTTCCATCGTGACAACGGGCCGCTAAGTATCCACAGCCTCTCTTGAAGGGGTCGCCCTGCCAGTTGCGCAGCGTGCCTTTTTCCAGAGGGGGGGGTGGCCCTCGTGCGTCTACTTTTGGGTAGTTTGCCAATGTTGATGGGGCATGGTTATGTGACGGGGACATGAGGAACTTTGAGTAAATTGCCTAGTTGCCTAGTGACATGTGAGCCACAATCAATACCCGGGTAGATAAAAGTTGGTAAGGGACAATCCCAACCATAAATAGCTGCGGCCGCCTTCTTAATTCTTTACATAGTTCTGGGTCGACCATTTTATCTTTGTTTTGGAATGGTGTCCCGTTAAAAGTTCAACCAATAAACAAGCTGCGCCCTTTGTTCTGCATGACCCCTGGTCCTTTGAGCCAGTTTGTCAAGGGAACTACCTGGAGTCTCCTTCTGACCCTTGAAAAATGGTTGGTCATGAACCCCCAAATAATGGTTGGTCATTGACAAATTTTTATTTCGGGTCAGAAGGAGACTCCAGGTATCCATCTCTCGGTTTTCTTCGGGGCAAATTCGATTTGAAGCGCTCGGGATCCCCCTCCCGGCGTGGCATGGGACACATTTCTTCAATTTTTGCTTATTGTGGTTTCGTGGCTGAAGTCCAACCACTTAATGGTAAAAAATATGTTTTTGCTCCCCTTCAACGTCAACCAAGCTTAGGCCTGCGGGCAAGATGTTTGGGAGAACATTGTACACCTGAACCCTCAAACTACAAATGCAAATGGATCATTGCCCCAAATTTGTGGAGGCCCCGAATTTGTGGAGTGAATTCGCATGTTTGCAGGTGGTGAGGGTCCAATAAGTCCAATAGAGGGATTGAACCCCACAGAGAACTGGGGCTGTGTCAAGACACTGTGCGACATGCTGTTTTGTATGTTCGTTCCATGAGCCTGTCACGCCATTCCTAATGGGAACCCCAGATTACTACACCCCTGTCGACTGATAGAGTGGTGTCCCCTTTGGGGCTTCATCACATTGGTGGCCCTATCAGTAGCCGGTGGTCAACAGCAACGGCCACCGCCCAGCTTGGGCGTTATCGGGTGCCGCATCGTCCGAACTTTGATCGGGTCTTGCGTACCTCAAGTGACGTTCAACAGCAAGGCCTGCCTAAACCATCTTAAACCTTTATGTCTAAGGGTGGAAGTACATACTTTACCATATTGACAGACGCTTAAAGGTCGATCAGTGACACGGCGCTGCTCACGTGCTCATGGACTCATGTGGTGTCTGCTTTTGAGGGTGTTTTTGAGGTTGGAAGGGAAGTCCTTAAAGGAAAACAACTTCTAAGAAGACTGCCGCTTGGAATTCAACACATTTGGATTTTAAGAGAGTGAACACCGGGTGTATCTTCGCCTCATGGCGTTTCTTCCCTTGACACATACCCCTCGCCGCTCGCCTCGCAGGAGGACAACCCGCCAGGCCCGCTGCTGCCACGGTTGGTACTGCCACGGAGGGTTCCCGGCATGTTTGTTCCCAGCCCAGCCACTCATTCCCGGATTTTTGTTGTTATTTGTTCTCGCAAGTTTTTGCGGGAGGCCAAAAAACAACCAGCGAGCTAAAAAGGACGTTGCAAGGGAAGACCTAGGAACGCCCTGCTGGAGTCGGAGAGTTGTGGGTTTCATGCTGGGGAGGCCTTTGAACATCAAAGTTGCATGCTGTTTTCTGACTTGTGCCCAGCTGCAATGGGGAGTTGCTCACCGAAATCGAACGTCAGTTAGAGGCTCGGTGAACATTGGCCGGGGCTCCACGAGACGGTAAATCCAGCGAACACCCATGCCGAACAGGTTTTTGGAGTTGTATGCTCATATGCCTCAGATGTCAAGATGGCAGCAACCAGTCTGAATGGTGTTCCCATTTGTTGGAGAAGCCACGTCAACCTCAATGGCCCCCAAAGGCCTATGGGCCCGAAGAGTCCCTTGATACCTCCTATGCGGAGTTGGGGAATCTGGGATGACCCATTCGCGCGGGCCCAGCTTGAGTGCAAATGGGGTACCTCCCTTGTGGATGTATCATTCTGAATTCAGAACTGTGCTAAATCACGGAAGGTTCGAGGATTCCCTTGTTCCTTTAGTCGCAATGTGGGTGGGTTTGTCTCAAAATGGTCTCAAAAGAGAGTGGTGCCCTTGTGGTTGCCCTTTAAAACCATCCGAAAAGTGTACCGAGCTTCAAACACGCGACATACTGTGGATCACGAAATCATTTTACACCACTTTGAAGCATTGGCGGGTCATCAGGTGGTACGAAGTAGATTTCATCCATAGTACGGGATCGGGCTGCCTGCTTTTCGGGCCCAATCCCCTCACTGTTGGCGCATGCTTCTTTTTGTTTAATAAACATGATAATTATCACTATTAATTTGTGGTTATTGTTTTGCTTATTAAAACAAAATTTATGTTAGGCTTTATTTTTTACTTAGGGGCTGCAAAAACAGAGTCGTCTTCTGCAAGCCCATAATGAACACCCCTTGTTAATAAACCCCTGTTTATTAATAGGGGGGTGTCCCTGGTTTTAGTGGGGATTGCTCACTTTTGGAGGGGACCCCCATATTTCATTTTTTTTTAAAGAACGAAAGAAAAACACATGATTTTGGTTCTGTTAGGTGTTATTAAACAAATAGCAGGGTCTGCAAAACCGAGTCAGTTGTTTGTAAGCCCATACCACCAGGGGTTCTCGCAGGCCCCGAGACGGAGATGCAATGCGTGGTGGTGCTGCCGCCGGACGTGGTGGATGCGCTGGTGCAGCTGCAGCGCAGCTCCCAACAGCTGCGGACGGGTCCCGTTGGAGTTGATTCGATTCGGGGGGCGTGGTCATTTCGCACCACTTGGAAGCCATGGTTGAAACCATTGTTTAGTGGTATTTCAAGGGGAATCATCAGACACTAGGGTTTCTCTTGGTGCTTTGGCCATGTGGTTTGCTTTTGGTTGTTTGCGGTCCCTTCTTTAGATTACGCCCGTAACCTCCACATACCCTCGTTTTTCAGTTGGTATTTTTGGGAAACCGATCGGTTTTCCATGGCAAATACCAAACCTTTTTTAGTAGAGAGTCCCTGTTTTTAGGTTGCCCTCTCTCCCACGTTGCCATGGCACCTGACAGGGAATTGGTCCCTCCAAGAGGCCAAGAGGAAGCTGATCTTCCTGGTGCCTCCCCACAGGTGCCATGTCAATGGGAGGAAGGGTAGATTTTAAGGTGTCCATTTTGGGCTCCGTGTATTTTCCCGGATTTTCAAAATCATGGAAATAGCACGGAGAACGGAAAAACAGAGAAAAAACCCGGAGATTGAGGACCCAGGTTACGACAAACCTAAGTCAGTCTTCATCCACCCAGTGGCATCCTTGTTCGACGTTTTAACCGTGGGAGGGGGGGTGGGCCCAATACAAAAAAAAACGGAGCCCCGAGCCCGCGAACGGCTTTTCTCGGGGTTCAGGGGTCATGCTGTGGACGAAATCCATTTCGCACCACTTGGAAGCCATGGTTGAGACCATTGTTTAGTGGTATTTCAAGGGAAATCATCAGACACTAGGGTTTCTCTTGGTGCTTTGGCCATGTGGTTTGCTTTTGGGTGGACATTTTGATGGACATGTCCACTTTTCAGGGCTTTTCATTAATTCATGGGCAGTGGCTCTCAAAATGGGCTGGGGGATTTCCATCTCCGAGAAGAGGGATCTCTTGTTTTGGGTTTCTTCAGCCCTTTGGGGGGGGAACTTCCATTTCCCATGATAGGAAAGGCATTTTTGACCACTCGGTGCATTTCCCAGTGGCACCCTTTAGGATCTCTATGGTTTTGCATTTTCAGCTTGCTTCTAGTATTGAATTTCACGAGGGAGTCTCCCAGTTCAGTGCACCCTGGTCCTTTTGTGTTTGGTTTTCCAGATTCAAGAAGCCCAGGTCGTACTGTGGATGGACGCAATCCATTTCGCACCACTTGGAAACTGTGGCAAACCATTGTCCATTGGTATTTACAGGGGACTCATCATTCCAGGGTTTCTTAGGTGGTGCAAGATTTCGTCCATCCACAGTATTTTCAACAGCCGGAACCCTTGGTGAAAGCTGCTCCCCTTTGCACCCTACAGCTGATTTGGGCAGAGGTCCTACAGCTTTCACGCTTTTCTACTACGGTCAATTCCGCTGGAAGGGCAGGTCGATTCCCAGAAGCTGGAGGGTCCTCAAACCGAACTCACCAACCAGAATTATGGGGGCAATCAGCCCCATTTTTATAGGTAGCTTCTTCGGGTCCAGGCATGTCACCGCTACCAAATGTCACCAACCCAGAACAGATTAAGACCCACCTGGAGTCTCCATGACCCTTCTAAAATGGGTCAATGACCCCATAATTTTTGGTATGGACCCCATTTTTAAAGGGTCATGGAGACTCCAGGCAGTTTCCAAGTCTTCCTTCAGCAGTTCGGGGATCAGTCTCCAACCACCCGTCGCAACGAAAGCTTGGCCTCGCAGGAGCCAGGCTGGCTCCCGCATCTCGGCCTTCGAGAGAGGGTTGCCCAAACCTCCGTGAAGAGGTGCCGCAACCCCTTTGTCACAACCTAACTTGTGTACCTGGAGTTTCCTTCTGACCCTGAAAAAAACGGTTGGCAGTACCCCAAAGTAATGGTTGGTGATTGGCCCATTTTTTAATTTTGGGTCAGAAGGAGACTCCAGGTACACAAAAACTCGTCAACCTCCAAAATTGACCCAACCCCTTTCCCATCGCATAATCCCACAAGGTCTAGACATTGTGAAGGCCCCTTTTCGTGGTCAACCAACACATTCGGCGATTTTTTGCCCAGCAGACTTGGGAGAGGTTGGGCTTGGATTTGGAGACCTGGGGCTGCGACTTGGGCTTAGACCACTTTTCTTTGGGTACAGGGTTGACATGATCCCCTTCAAAAATGCAAAAATAAAGACATAGCTGGTAACCGATCGTGTGTTTCCAAAAAGAAAGCCAACCAAACACTGGGGTTGTTCCAATATTACGACCATGGTATCAACACCCAGGCTGAAAATTCCATATTGGAGGTTTGTTCCAATGTGGCGACCATGCGCCTGGTATCAACACATTTTGGTAAAAAAACAAAAACAATGAACATAAACAATATTATTACTACGGCCATTTTGGCTCAAGGCTCAAGGAACCCCTGAATGATCAGGTAGTAAGCCATGAATGCCCCGATTGATGTGGAGGATTCTCATCGAACTCATGCATTAGCAGTTTTAGATGGGTCCGAGTCACCAAGCAAGAAGCGCAGAGAGGGCCTCGAAGTTGCTCTTCCGGACGAGGGGTTCTGGAACCGAATTCAGGAGTGTGTTTCTACAGCAGTTACATCTTCCATGGCATCAATTCAGCAAAACATGGAGCAGATTTCCAATCGTACACGGACTACTGAACAGTGCCTAGGAATGGTGCAGGATCAGTTGGAAAAACAGTCTGAAGAGCTTGCCAACATGGATCAGAAGTGGGGCAATCGCCTTGATCACTTGCAGCAGCAGGTCATTGATTTGCAGAAGAAGAATGATGAGGGCACCTCTCCCAGAGCATGTGGTCCTCCTTCCCCACTCAGACAAGCGCAATCTCCCTCAGCTGCGGGCGAGCCTTCTATGCTGGTGGTTCTCGGCGGGTGGGCGGAAGGGGAGAGACGTGCTTGGGTTCAGGAACAGCTCAGCAGGCTTGTGGAGGCGGCAGGGGTGAAGGAAGCTGTTCATGAGATCGAGTTCTTTGGAAAGAGGCCTCGATGCGCCAAAATTCACCTCGTTTTTGCTGAAGGAAGCGGCATTTCGGCCAAGCGGGCAGTGCAGAAAAAGGTCATTGAGAAGCTCAGGGGCCAGCAGTGGATTCCCCGCGGTATGCAGAAAGCAGTGTGGGTGGTGCCAGACCGCTCGCCAGAACAACGGTGCGTGTCGAGAGCTATGGCCAAGATTGGGAGCTTCATGCAGGAAGTGTGCGGCAAGCCTCGTGACCTGCTTGAGGTCGACAACTGGGGAATTGCTCGGGCTTACTGTGGTGATTTTAAAATTACAGGAATGTCGTCGGGCCCAAGGCCCACTGCCCCTCCTCGTGATGATGAGATGGTGGTCTGGGTGGAGCGCGACGACAGCACCGGCACGTCCATATGGTTGGACATGCTTGCCTTGTGCAAGGGCCTCGGTGCTACCAATCCAGCGGAGATGCTGCAGAAGTGGCGTGGCTTCCAGAAGTGACAAATTCAGTGTGGTGCAGCAGGGACAGGTATCACCCAAGTTCCTGGTGATCAGGAGCAGAATTCATTCTCTTACCTTCGTTTTGGCACTTGGAATATCCAGGGCAAATCGTCGGAGCAGCTCTTTGCTTTGCTTGCTGCATTTGACATTGATATGCATGTGTCTGCTCTTCAAGAGGTCACCGTAGAGTCTTCCTTGGAGGCAGGAGGATATGACTTCGTCATGGACGCAACCAAGGAGTGGATTACTCTGCTGGCCAAGCCACCAGGGTGTTTTCGTGCATGTGGCGTCCTTTTTGATCAGGACCATCTTGTGGACATCAGCAACATCAAAGTTGGACATTCTCATGTGGTTGCCAAGGTGCGGCTCAAGGAGTTCCCAACCCCTTTTGTCATTGCAAGTGTACACTTTCCTCATAGCAAGCGTCCCATCTCTGATTTGGCTGATGCCCTGCAGTCCTTGGGCGAAGACCTTGACAGATATGTAGAGGATGATGCCCCAATGGCAGTGTTGGGCGACCTCAATGTGTCCATCGCAGGCGAAAGCGGGGAAAGCGCTCGTATGGTTCTTTCAGCTCTCACTTGCATGGGTTTGATTCATTTTTCTCATGACCTTGCTTCCACACGGCCTCCCTCCAACAGACGGTTGGACCATTTCACCTACAATGACGCATGGCTGAGCAAATGTGCTTTTCTTCCCGGGGAAGGGCAGCAAGACGAATACAGTGATCAGCTTGAGCATACCTACGTCCAGGAGAGTTTCCATTGGGTTGCCAGACAAACGCTGGGAGTCGACCATGTGCTACTTACTCATGATTTTCTAGTTCTTCCTGCGCAACGGAAAGCTAGGCGTCTCCACCCTCAGGCGTGGAAGAGAGTTGGCAAGTACAAGACCCTGCCCAGCATTGCAGAACATGTTCCTACTGCTCATGATGCTTCAAATGCTTATGCTAGTTTGGTTGTGCTTTGCCAGCGTAGATCGAGAAGACTTTACAGCATCAAGTACCGTGACAATTCTCAGATCACAGATTTGTGTCGTCTGCGTAGCATTACTCATGACCGTGCTGAGCGTGAAAGGCTATCTAAAGCAATTTTTGAGCAACGTGCTCTGGCACGTCGTTCGTGGCTTCAATCTTTGTGGGATCGTGCTTCACAGGGGGATTGGAGCGCGAGGGCGTACCTTCAACGACGCAAACCTCGTGCAGGGGGAGTTAGTCACTTGGTAGCGGATGCAGGCTCAGTTGAAGCAGCTGTATGTACTGTGCGACAATTTTTCGATGAGCGCTTTACAGGGGAGCCCCCTCTTCCAGAGCCAAACCTCCCATGGTGTACGCCCCTAGACTGGCCGGTTGAGCCACCTATTCAGACAGCTGAGCTCCTTATTGCTCTGAGCAAGCTCGAGAATGGGAAAACTACTGGGTCTACGGGTGTTTCCTTTGAAGCTTTGAAGGGTATTGCTGAAGCCCCAGGCGGTGAGGAGCTATTGCTGCAAACAGTCAACCATTTGCATCGACACCCGGAGCAGGCCCCCAATGAGATGTTTCATGGTTTAGTTGTTCTTCTTGGCAAAACTTTGCGGGTGCGCTCCCCCAAAGACCTACGTCCCATTGTTCTGACTGAGTCCCTGTGCAAATTGGTGGCCAGTATTAGCACTTCGCGCAGCGTGGATCGGTGGCCAGCCCCTTACGAGCTGCTGGGAGGTGTTGCAGGCGTGCAGGTTGCAGAAACAATCTGGGCAGCCAAGACAATGCTTGCAAGAAGTCGTATGTTTGAGGATTCCTATTTGTACCTTCGCATTGATGTTTCAGCTGCTTTTGATTCTTTACAACACCACGCCGTTCAGAGGCAGTTTTGTGATCATTATTTGCCTGAGCATTCTGTGAGTCTGCGGTTCCTGGATCATTTGATTCGTAGCCAACACTTAACTTTCGCTGTACTTGAACATGAATGGAATTTGGCCCCCGCCCGGGGCATTGTGCAAGGAGGCTGTCACAGCCCCAAAATCTTTGCAAGAACTCTATGTAACGTTTTTGCCTGTCTGCGCAACCAGTGGTTGACGAGCGGGGAAACGCCGCCCTTCCAGTTTGATGCCATGCGCCTTTGGGCGCTTTTCTTTATTGACGACGGCTTACTGGTTTTTCGTGACCTTCCGCAACTACAACGACTTTTTCCTCAAGTTTGTGCTGCTCTGGCTTCCATTGGGCTTAGCGTCAACCTGGAAAAGTGCAGGTTATTGGGGTGGCGAGTTCCGCGGACTTTGCCGGCCTGTTTGCAAGGTGTTCGGGTGGTGGATCGGGTTGTCTTCCTTGGGGTGCCGCTCTCGGTCACTTCTTCTGACAACGATATGGTGGCGTCTCTCGCGCACAGAGCTGTTTCTGCTTTCTTTGCCAACCGCCGCCTGCTTACCAGTCGAGCTGCTACAGTGTTTCAGCGAGCAAGGATGTTTCAGCCGCTTGTCACCTCAACCGTCAGGTGGTGTATTGGAGCAGTCGTTCCTTTCGCTGGAGCGCTGAATTCTTTCCGGGTACAGTGCGTGACCTTGCTGGTGTGGTGTTTGCGACTTCGGTCGCACCCAAGTTGGCATGATGAGAAACAGTATGCCTGCGTGCGGCACATTGCCAAACTGTGGGGTCGTGTGTGCTGGGGAGGACTGTGGGATGTGTTGGCGTTGGAACAGCATTGGCGTCTTTTGGGACATATGGTGCGGTCGGAGACTACGCGCGTGCCTGCAGCTTTTGTTTTATCGGAAACCCACACTGGCGCCATTCTGCACGGGCGCCGCAGATACCGACGTGGCCCGGACAACACAGGTTCTGCCTTGGTTTCACGGTTTTTGGGAGCTCGTGGACTCGACTTCACTTTGGCTTATGATAGGGAAGCTTGGGAGCAGCAGATGCGAGCTTGGGTGCGATCGCATTCTGGCACTGTTCATCCTGTTGGTGAGAATGTATTTTCTGTGGACCCTTTACATTTTGCCTGGCACAGGAGGTGCATGCAAGGGGTGTGCTTTGGATCTCAGACGTTCTTCATTCGCAGAAACCATGATAGATTGCAACTTGTGGAGCTACGTCGGTCAGAAGGCTGGATTTCATTTGCGCTGGCCGCTGCTACCAATGATTTTTGTCATCTTGAATCTTTGTTAGACACAGCAATTCGCTCGACCACTGTACATGTTCGATTGTTCATGCATGAGTGTCATATTGTTTTGCCTGCCTCCAGTCAGCGATTATGGGAGCGAGGCGTGATTGTCGAATCTAGGGCCAATGAGTTTGGGGAGCTGTGCATGCCCTGTCCGCGCTGGACTAACCCTTGGCTGCAAGGCTGGAGAGAGCGCAAGCAAAAACAAAACAATATTATTACGTTTTTTTTCTTTTTCCCGGAGCTTTCGGGGTTGGGTGGCTTCAATCGCTCCGGGTGGTTTTTGTTCAATCCCAGGCCCTGCCACGGCCAGAGCCTTGGACGCCTTGGATGCGGCAATCCTGGCCGCGCCTCGGCTTCCCCGCGGTTAAATGCCGGTTGTGCGCTGGAAGCCGACTGAAAACGAGACCCAAAAAAAAGAAGTCCCTGCAAAGAAGGACGGGGCGCCCATGTGCTGAAATGAACAGATGAACATGCTTGATTTCTTCCTGGATTTGACCGGAATTGACTCTTTTCTTCCATTTGGGTGGCGCATCTTATTTTGAGGGACTTCCAAGCTTTTGGTTTGGTCCCGGAACAAAGACACACCCATGTTGGTTTGCCTCTACTTCGGGAAGCCCCCCTCAAAATAGGTGGTTTCCCTTTGGGATTTGGGAAGCCACTTTACAACAAGCCCACTAAGGGTAGCCTCAACAAAGACGAGCCACCCATTTGCTGAAGTATATTATATGAACATACTTGATTCCCGCCTTGCCTGGATTTGACGAAAAAGCAAATGTCGGGTCTGGGGAGGCTGGTTTCCCGTCAGAAAATGGTGCCATTTTTCTCCCACGGGTTAACTTGAGCACCCATCGACAATGTTAGCAGCCTGGATTTGTTTTAAGGATAGTTTGAGGGTCCAGCTGGGTTAGAACCAATGGATGAAAAGGGCCTTGCTCACTTCTCTGGACCCCAGAATCAACCCTCTCGATAGAGGGGTGTACTGGGTGAAATGCGGGGATTCAGACCACTTTTGGAGGGTTTTCCCCCACCCCCCTATAAATAAACGGGGGTTGATTTGTGTTGGGTCAACATTGTGTTCACGTTGGTTCGATTGAACCCCAGGTATCTGAGCTGGAGCTATTGGCATTTCTCCCCGTAGAATGAGCCAACCAAAAAGGCAGTCCTTTCTGCCCCACACGTTTGAGGAGTATTGACCTTTTTCTGTCCCTATGTCGAACTCCTTTCCTTGCAGGGCTCCCTGAACTGTTTGAAAGGCTGATTGTATAGGTCCATATCATGGCCATTTGGGACCCTTTGACGGCTAGTCTCCCATCATTAAGCCTTAACTAACGGTTGATTAAGCCATGAACTGGGGGTTCAAAAGCAAAGGACACATACATTCAACCTTTCAGTAATCTAGGGCAACCTTTCTCCGGGCTCCCACGTTGAAATTTTAGTTGGTTTAAGCATCACCTTTTGGTTGCAAGTTGTAAAGTGAGCTTTCTTCAAGTTGGGTGATGTGTGCAATATACCCCTTACTCCAACTACCGCTTTTTGTCGGGTATGTCAACCCTTTACTAAAAAGCTGGGGTCTTTCCCGTGGAAAAAAAACAGATCGGTTCTTCCTGGACCCCCAAAGGGTCCCTTTTTTCTGCCTTTGACCCAACAAAAAAGGGGTCCAAAGGCAGAAAAAAGGGGTCCTTCGGGGGTCCAGGTTCTTACACACAGAAGGCCATGAAAGAAGCGGCTTGGAGCTTTCGGGGTTCCCAGTTCCATGGCAGCGGTGCCCAGGTGTGAGAGATCTATCTGCCACGGGACCTTCAAACGACCCGGTAGTCTCCTGACCCGAATCAATGGGTCAACCCCAAAAGGGCAATGGGC